GACCTTAATAAAAAAAATTTCTCAAAAGTAAAAAATTTTAGATTTGGTTTAAAAAAAAAAAAAATTAAGCAGCAATTTTTCAACATTGATAATAATAATAATAAAAAATGTTTCTTGAGCACCAAATTAGCATAATAGAGTGATTTCTGAGAATCATTTGACACTAAAGACTGAGGTAATGGCTGCTGAAAATTCAGCTTTGCTATCACAGGAATAAATAACTTTTTAAAATATATTCAAATTTTAAATTGTATTAATATTTAACAATGTTACTGTTTTAACTGTATTTTGATCAAATAAATGCAGTAAGTTTGTTTAGCCTGTATTACACACACATCTATCTATCCATCCATCCATCTCTTTATATGTGTGTGTATAATACAGGCTAAAAAAGTTCCCAGTCTATTTAAAGCTCCTTCTTTACTAGAACAATTAGGAGCTCCAGGGCTCCTCAGTCCTCTAAAGAGCAACAATTTCTTTCTGTGCACCATCATGGGCGGTAGTAGCGCAGTGGTTAAAGTTTTTGGCCTGCCAAGCCAAGACTAAAACCCGAGATCACTGTTGGCCAAGAGGTTGTGCCATACTAACCAGAAGTACTACTGGTGGTCTATTCCTGAAAATGGTCTACACTTTGCACTAAAGCATTAAAAGGGCCTTGTTTTCAATAAACATTTTAAAAACTCTTAATTTGATTTCCTCTTTAAAGAGAACTATGAGTTAAACCGACTACTAGATCTGAAAATGTCTTACAATTTGAAGCACGCCCAACATGAATAAAACCACTAAAGCACGCTAACAAGATAATACTAGCTGACAGGATGTCTATTTTAAATCGGTCTCTATAAATAAATAATTCTTTCCAATAGAAAGTATCCAAAGTCATAAGGACTATGGTGTACTTGCTCCTCAGAGAGGTGTGGTGGTGGTTTGTGGAATTTATGGATTTACGGTGGGGTGTGGAGACACCTTCTGCTCTTATGACCACACACCTTTGCCCTATTGAGCATGTAATGTTACAGATACAACATGAAGTGCATACAAACACACCCAGAAAATTCTGGATAAACTAAACAGCGAAGCAGTTAGTGCAACACCTGGATCCAGCTGTACTAACAGACACACTCAAACTGCCTCGACAGATCTGAATGGATCTATCAGTGAATAAATATCTACTAACAGTAATGCAGCAATTCGATTTATATAATTACATGTAATTAATCTGTTTGTGCATTCAGTCCTTTGCTACGTTGTGCTAAAAATAATATATATTTAAAAAAGATTATCAGTAAGATTTTCAATGTTTTTTTAATGGAGTCTCTAATGCTCATCAAGGCTGTATTTATTTGATCAAAAATACTGAAAAAAACTATAATATTGTGAAATATTATTGCAATTTCTAATATTGGTTTCCGAATTTAATATAATTTTCAGCATCATTACTCCAGTCTTCAGTGTCACATGATCCTTCAGAAAGCATTCTAATATGCTGATTTATTATCAGTGTTGAAACTATTGTGCTGCTTAATATTTTTTGGGGACCTGTGATACCTTTTTCAGTATTCTCTGATGAATAAAAAGTTAAAAAGAACAGCATTTATTCAAAATAGAAATCTTACAGACAACAATATGAGTTTTTACTATCACTTTTTATCCATTTAACACATCCTTGCTGAATAAAAGTAAAAAGAAAGAAAACATTACTGACCCCAAAACTTTTGAATAGTAGTGTATATTGTAAAACAAAGTTTCTATTTTGAATAAACACGGTTCTTTTTAACTTACTATTCATCAAAGAATCCTTAAAAAATGTATTACAGGTTCCAAAAAATATTAAGCAGCACAACTGTTTCCAACATTGATAATAAATCAGCATATTAAGATGATTTCTGAAGGATCATGTGACACTGGAGACTGCTGAAAATTCAGCTTTGCTTCACAAAAACAAATTATATTTTTATGACAATAATGACAATAATATTTCATGACAAATGACAATATTATTTCACAAAATGTGTTTTTTTCTGTATTTTTGATCAAATAAATGCAGACTTGAGCATACGAAACTTCTTTAAAAAACATCTTACTGATCCCAAACTTTTGAATGGCAGTGTATATACACAAATGTATATGGCAGTGTGTGTGTGTATATATATACAAATACATATACAAATAGTTTTAAACAGTCTTTGTCCATGATGTACAAATATGGCAAGGGTCTTTTTCAGACCAGAAAATCACACAGAACAGTATAAAATATGAAACATTTTAATATGAAATCAAGTAACTTTTACTGTAGCAGCCCTAACCAATCATTATTGAGGCTTTATCAGTGTTGCCGTGTGAGTAGCTATGTTTAAACAGCAGCATCTGTTCTGGGAACTGCACTCCACTTCGCTGGAGAGTCTGAGAGATTCTAGTCACACTGATGGTATGAAGACCAGAGAGTGGTTTATCAGCTGCAGGCCATAAGCGGACAACACACAGCATGCTGAAAAAAGCCGAGATGCTCGAGGGATTAACTGTCCCCTTACACAGGATGGCCTATCACTGCGCCATTACACCCCAATCCACCGCCCGCTGGGTGTGACTAACATGAGACAGGGGCTGGACAATCATCAGCAATGAGCTGTGGACCATTTGACAGACAACTGCCACTTACAGTGTACAGAGCTGTGGGATTACAATACCACCATCATCATCATCATCAGTGATGAAGAAAATCTTTGATGTCCACCTGTGATTTCTCTGCTGGGACACTTGTCCTTAAGGGAAACTGACTTCATGCATCCACTAAAAATCCTTTTGCGACTAATTAGTAAAAACAAAAAAATGTTAAGTTAATTTGTAAAGGTACTCTGGGCATTGTATGTAGCATCTCTGCTTTCATAGACCTTCAAGATCATGAGACGTTTAGAGGTGAAATGGTGGCTACAGGTCTCACCTTTTGGTGGCATTCTCCTGGAAGGGATAGATGACCTGGCCAGTGTGGCAAAGCTCACAGATGAAGCCCTTCTCCCGGCACAGACTACAGCTATAGACGTGAGAGCTGGCAAATTTGATCACCTTAGAGAGGAAGGGAGCAAGCTTTCCATCTATGACCTGCAAGAAAGAGAAATATATTACAAAAGTGGAATGCAGAGGCGGGTGATATGTCTAAAATATGAGTCATTGTATTTCACGTTAACTATACAGTATATCACAATATAGTTAGTTTTGCTGGAAATAAGGTTGTTATGAGGCCAGCATTTTAGATACCATTGAAATGTCACAATATTGATTTCAGAGCAAACACTAGCCTAACTAACGTAAAAAGTCATTCATATATATATATATATATATATATAAAATTAGGATATAAAGATCATGTTCCATGAAGCCATACATCAATGGAAAGCTTATTTATTCAACTTTCAAAGGATGTATGAATCTCCATTTCCAAAAATGGACCCTTATGACTGGTTTTGTGGTCCAGGGTCACAAATAAGAAAAAAGAAACTAATTACAAGCAATAGCACAAAAAACTAAAACAGTAAAGATACAAACTAAATAAAGAGTGCTTTAGATTTTTCATGTAGGTCTAACAAAATAAATACTTCAGAGATGTAGTACATAAAACGTTATGACTGGAAGCTTTTTGTGCACACATTCCAGATGTATGTGCATTGAAACCATCTATCAGACAGCAAATTGAGTTTCTTTCGTCCCTTATAGCGGTTGAACAATTTAAAATCGATTGAACGGTTTAAAATCACTTAAACATTTAAACTAAAACTTTCATAACACTGCAGCATCACATGAGGGTAACTGTGATAAATGCAATAGTCAAAATCTCTAACAACTGACAAATTTCTACCAGTTTGTCCACCCTACAAGACAGAATCTCGAAATTCTACAGAATGCATTGGCAAATGTGTAAATTGAGTGCTACACTTAGCAGAAAAACTGATGTAAGTTCACCACAACACTAATAAACAAAAATGCAAAGGAACAGAGGATGTGTAGAACTTTGTGAAAGATGATAATCTAAAGTCTGTGGAACTTTCAGGGAACATTTTGCAGGTGCAGATTATTTGCAGGCCAACCTATAAGCTTTAAACATGCTGAGAAATAGGATGGAAAAGTATGGAGGAGGAACCTAGGGAAGTGTAAAACGTGACCCAAGCGATTCTGCTATAAAATGGCCTCCACTAAATGTGTTCAACAGCTATGAGAGAGGAGGCAGATTTGAAATATCCATGCAAAAATCAAAAATAAATTCCATTATCAAATGGACAGTAATCCTCCTGGTAACAGTTAGAGGGGAGATGCACCTGTACTTATATTTCTTTATACACATATTGCTTTTTGCACTTCTGGTTAGATGCAAACTGCATTTCATTGACTTTGTACTTGTACTCTGCACAATGACAATAAAGTTGAATCTTATCTAATCTAATAAATAACACCTACAATATTACTATACATTAACAGTATTAATGTAAATCTACCTTTTATAATATACATTACAGTTCACTGTATTTTAAATTGTAATTATATTTCACCACATTACTGTTTTTACTGTCATTTTAAACAAATAAATGCAGCCTTGTTGAGCTTAAGAGACTTCATTTAAATCATTCTGAACAGTAGTGTACATTAAATATTTAGATGGTCAGTTCATCTACTGAAGCACTGAAGATGCACTCTAGATCATCTCAAATCCAGTTGCAGAACATGATCATGTCTGCCTCTTGTTTTAACAAGCACTTTAACTGCACATTTGTGTAAAACCTTCACACAAATTTGCAGCTAAAGTGCTTATTAAAACAAAAGGTAGAAATCAAATACTAACATTCTGAAACTCGTGTTCATTTTTAAGTCATTGTTTTATTCAAATTATGCTGAAAAAAGAAGCACATGCTTCAAAGTCAGTTAGCTCACTAAAAACAGCATCTTTGTGGCTATTGCGGGGGGCATGGGTGACGTCTGCCAAATCAACTCCCCCCAAATCCCCCACCTTCTGCTCCTGTCTCGCATGTGCTTTGTCGTTAGCTGCTTAATCCCCTAAAACCACAGTTTAGCGCCTACTTCTTCATCCCCTCCTCAGCCCTGGCCCTAATGTCCTCGCCCGCTCCATTAAATGGCAGAGAAAGGGCCCAGATTAGACAGATAAAAAAAGAGTGTGAGCTCTGTTTGGATAACACCCTCCCTGCCAGGGCCTCGCAAAACAGGATTACAACCAGCGTGTGCGAGGAAGTGAGAGAGAGAGACGCCCTGCCAGGGTCAAGTGTGAAGTGGGCATGACGTTTCATCATATACGTGGACCATGTGAATGTATAGGTCACGGTAGACCAGGTTCCATGTAGGTATACTTGAAGAATGATGGTTTTATGGATATACTGAAAGCTGATGTTCCTCATCAGATTCCCATTCATGATTATAAAAAAGGACAAATATTTTCCAGTGGGCTCTGAGAACTCAACTTAAATCAAAGAGAAAACAAGTTTTCATGTCACTAAAAAATGGTTGTTCTTTAAAGCAAAAAGTCACTTAATTTCGCCATATCGTATCGTCATTCTGTATCTCAAGTAAATGTATCTTGATTTAAAGTTGTTTATATAATTGTATTGGAAAACAAGACAAAAATACTAACAAAAGCATTCTTTTATGCAACATATAATGGCACAATTTTATGAATTTAAGACTTTCTGTTTAGTTTTAAGACAACTTTGAAATTCCAGTATGTAACTTCTGGGGACCTGAATGTTGTCGTTTGAGCTCAATTAAGTGCATATTGTTGGCAAGACCAATGCTGTTGTTTTCGGTACAACGCATACAATTAGCATTTATATCGCACTCGTACTTGTGTCCATGTTGGTGCACTTGGTTAACTCTTCTTACTCTTCCAGTGGAGATATCAAACAAAAGGCAGTGGCCAAACAAAACTGGCTTCTGGGCAAACAAATATGGTCAACGGGGTCATTTTTAAAAAGAAAAGAAGACTGCCCAAAACTCTGTGCTAATTGTTTGAACTAAATGGGGACAGCATTTGTTTTTAGTCTATAGTGTTTGGAGTCTTGCTGGAGATAGTTCAGCATTCAGTGACCTCAACAAGGAGGGCGAGCATTCCAGAGCTGCGGAGGAACCGGCATTAAGTAGCAACACTAAAAGAAAATGGCTCTTTAATAAGGTAAGCCAATTAAGAAGCTGAAAGAGAAAGTAATGCGACGTGAATGGGAAATGCCTCAAATTTGGGCCTTACAGAGGCAGTGGGGGAGACGTCATGAATAAGAAGTACACAAGAAGAGGGACAAAGAACTGACAGTACAGAGAGCATTTAAGAACCATAGAGAACTGCGCCGTTTCACTTCAAAGATGCAAGTATGAGCCAAATTGTTGTGACACAGATATCTGGTTTAAAATAAACTGAATAAAACAGAAAATATTATGCATTTTTGTTGACACCCAGACGTGTTTGTAACATTGTACTCTGTTTTAAGACCCACAGACCCAATACTGAGCAAGACAGAGCCTTGGGAAAAAGAGAGAGAAAGCATCCCCATTACAATTCATCATACTTAGTGTTAGAGGTTTAAAGAGACTGTTTTGTTTTGTGGCAAAAAAAAAAAACTTAAATATTTTAACATTTCTTTATTTAGCAACTGAATTAACAGAATTCACTAAAAATAAATGAATTAATTAAATTGACTATAAATTAATAAATTAATAAAATAAAACAAGACAAGCTGTAATTGACATGTAGAATGCAAAAGATGTTAAAAAAAGGTCAGAGAGGTATAGTGTCAGGCAATGGGATGTTGGGGAAGAATAGAATGGAATGGAAGCAGAGGCAGGACTGTCACGCTTTGTTTTTCTGCCCGTTGCTCCTGAATGGCAGTAATTAGTTAGCTGGGTGGGGGCAACGTGGGGTGGAGAGGGACTCCAGCCTCCCACCAGGAGACAGAAGGGAGCGGGGATGTGGGACAGGAGAAGAGATGTTCTGAGAGCAACAGAAAAATAAGGGCAAGGGTCATTCCTAAGAAACAAAGGAGTGACAAAAATTCAGGCATGATAACAGGGGGCTGAGGAAAGGAGAGAGATATGTATGGGAGCACAGTTTCCTATATTCTTGACATATAGTTATTTCAAGCATGCAAATTTCTTAATTTTAGTTCAATTAAAAAGTGTAATGATGACTGTGAGAATAGAGAAAAAAGTTGCTGCAATAAGCCAAAAAAACAGGAGCAAATTAATTACAACTGATCAAATTATGAGCTGTAACCAGGATTTCTGCAAGTTATAAAGGTAAATTTAAGACTTCTTAAGACCTATTAAAGAAATTTTAAGGAAGAAATGAAAGAACGCAATATGTTCTCTAAATATAAATATCTAAAGAGAACACACTGTGTTGTATTGCAGCACAACTTCCAACTGATCTCCATTACTTTTTAATTAATTTCACAATTTTTTTTACTGTACCTTCTGTGCATCACACTGCACAAAACTGATCCTTCTAAGTACTTTTGTTTAGTTTTTTAGTGCAAATAAAGCTTAAATTAAGATGGGAAAAGTTCATCAAATAAAAATAAAGTGAACTCATGATTATAAAAAAGGACAAATATCTTCCAGTGGGCTCCGAGAACTCAACTTAAATCAAAGAGAAAAGTTTATGTCACTAAAAGATGCTTGTTCTTACTTTAAAGCATAAAGTCACTTCATTTCGCAAAAAAAAAAAAAAAAACTCTTCATATCTTCATTCTGTATCTCAAGTAAATGTATCTTGATTTAAAGTTGTTTAGATATTTGTATTGGAAAACAAGACAAAAATACTAACAAAAGCATTCTTTTATGCAACATTTAATGGCACAATTTTATGAATTTAAGACTTTGTTTAGTTTTAAGACAACTTTTCAAGACCTTTTTGAGACCTGCAGAAATCCTGTTAACCTTATTACAGATGGATTCACAACAGAAAGTGAAAAGCAGAAGGTTAACGTGTCATTGACATTGAGGCTGCACATAGATCTACAGTGACTCTGTGAGGGTCAGGGTTTCGAGAGGAAGGGTGTGAAAAACACAGTTCACTCTCACAGCCTCTCAACTCCCACTGCCAGATGACACTGAACAGACACTCCACATGGCGATGATGTGTGCTACAGGTGTGTGTGTGTGTGTGTGTGTGAATGTGATGAAGTCTTTTATCAGAATCAGGTGGGACGAGGAGGAATGTGAACATACAGGCCCAGAAAAAGATGTTAACACATCAGCCACACAAAAATGTATGAATGTCCTGGATGTCAAGCATTTATTTTATTTATTTTGTCAAGCATAAAATGTTTATTTTGTTTTAAATGAAAAGGCAACACACAACTGTTTTGGGTCAGTAATATTTTTTTTAAGAAGTCTGTTCTTCCCACCAAGACCGCATTTATTTAATTAAAAATACTGTAAATAATTTAAAAATGTAATTTATTTCTGTGATGGTAAAGCTGAATTTTCAGCAGCCATTACTCCACTCTTAAGTGTCATATGACCCATCATAAATAACCCCAATATGCTGTTTTGGTACTCAAGAAACACTTCTTATTATTGAAAACCGTGCTGCTTAATATGTTTGTGAAAACCATGATACTTTCTTGGGTTATCTTTTATGTTTTTGGAAAAAAAAGGAAAACCTTAAATATGCAAAGAAAAAATATTATTAGATGATATTTATTGTTACAGTGATGAATATCTGTGGTTACTATGCTAGGACACTTGTGATGTGAAATTAATGAGAAATAAAAAAAAGGCATAATTTGCTTGTCAGTGCCATTTGGATTGATATGTTGTATCTTTTGCAATGACATTTCATTTCAACACTTTGTTTTTGAGTTTGAAATCCTTCAACATCCTACACATTTGCTTATGAAATCTCTGTTAATTTAAACACTCTTAAGAAACATATTTTACAGAATTTTACTCCACTCAGCAGAATTTCCCACATAGCATGAAATAAGCATGAAAAAGATGCGTGTGAGCCTACTTACATGTGTAAGTGTATAAAGAAAAACTGAGATGGAGAGGAAAGAGATAAAATTACCTGCTGCAGGTCTGCCAATGAGTAGAGGTGCACATGCTGTAGCAGGTATTCCCTCGGAAAGATCCTGCAGAAACAGCAAGAAAATCACATTAGAACGAAAAGCATATGCATATTACCTCAAATCATAACTGAGCCTGCACATATCTGTAAAAAATAAAAACTGCATTAGCCTGCACACATACACATACAGATCCATTTCAGGTGGAACGCTAGTATCCCATCATCCTGCCTCTGTAACCATGACAACATGGGTCCAAATTGCTTGGAAATAGGGGTTAATTCAATTGAATTGGAAAAAGGCTGTAAAATAGGCATTTAAAAGCACTACCCCTTATTATGGGTGAAGTGGGGCGGCTCTGTCTCTCTCTCTCTCTCCATCTGGCTAGCTATTATGGCCCTCTTCACCTCTCTCCTCCCATGAGCCTACACTCGCTCTTTCCCTCTCTCATTCACCCACGCCTGCTCACATTACAAACTCAAGGGCCCACAGAATTATCCAGAAAAGAGGGGACTGGCCAATGGTTCTTATGAGTTTGTTCTTTAGTGAATCTACACATAAAGCCTGTGAAGTCAATAAAAAGTGTACATAAACACAGTTTTTTCAAAATTTGCTTGAAATGTATTGGTTATCAAAATTATCTCATAATTCATCAATGGAATTAAATTTTCCCCAAAATATTATTTAATCAAATTTAGTGCTTAAGATTACTAAAAAAATCCTTAAAGGGATAGTTCACTCAAAAATAAAAATTTGATGTTTATCTGCTTACCCCCAGGGCATCCTAGACGTTTCTTCAGTAGAACACAAACGAAGATTTTTAACTCAAACCGATGCAGTCTGTCAGTCTTATGATGAAAGTGAATGGAAATCATGGCTTTGAGAGTCAAAAAACATACACAAATAAAACCAAATTAAACCCTGCGGCTCGTGACGATACATTGATGTGTAAAGACACGAAACGATTGGTCTGTGCAAGAAACTGAACAGTATTTATATAGTTTTTTTTACCTCTGGTTCACCGCAATGTCCGAACTATCCTGAGCGCGTTCTCAACAGCCGGCGTGTGACGTGTCTTCTTCTTCTTCTTGCTTTACGGCAGATCGCAGACTTATGAGTGCATTACCGCCACCTATCTCTCAAATGGACCATTGACACTCCTAATTAAGATTGTAGATAGTGTCAATGGTCCATTTGAGAGATAGGTGGCGGTAATGCACTCATAAGTCTGCGATCTGCCGTAAAGCAAGAAGAAGAAGACGTGAACACGCTCAGGACAGGACAGTTCAGACATTGCGGTGAAAATCAGAGGTAAAAAACGATACAAATACTGTTCAGTTTCTTGCACAGACCGATCCTTTTGTGTCTTTACACATCAATGTTTCGTCACGAGCCGCAGGGTTTAATTTGGTTTTGTTTGTGTATGTTTTTTTGACTCTCAAAGCCGTGATTCCCATTCACTTCCATTATATGACTGACAGACTGCAATTTAAAAATCTTAGTTTGTGTTCTACTGAAGAAACAAAGTCACCTACATCTTGGATGCCCTGGGGGAAAGCAGATAAACATCAAATTTTAACTTTTGGGTGAACTATCCCTTTAATGGGACTATTAAAGAATCTGAATTAATAAGAGGAATCCTAAACCAGATTTTTTTTTTAATTAAAAAATATATAAATTATTTATTTTAATAATAAAGAGTTTTCCACTGAAGTGTTTACAGATCACACCTGACAGATCTGCGGCCTTAGAGAGGTATGAATGCCTGATAAAGAGTCTGGAAAGCTTTACATACCCACAAATCTGATATAACAAGTGAGGTATTACTGAACATCTTAGGAAGGCTGACAAAGAAAAGATATTGCATTGAGAAGATTCCACGGTCTAATGCGCTATCTTCTGTATGACAAGATGAAATCCTAACTTAATCCCTGCGGACGTGTTGTTACGCTGATTTGCCTGCCTTTGTCAAGCTTGTTCAAGTCAGGACAGTGTGAGAAAATAAACCTGGGTCTCTCCAGGAGTTCATTTACTTCTGGTTATGGTGACAGTTCATCTTTCGGCTTTCCATCTCCTCAAGCATAAATTCATCTCTGCTCATGGCAGAGCTCCATGTCGATATCTTTTGTCCTTGCTCAGGGTAAATACGTAAGTGTTTACAGTGGTGGTAACCAGGCGATATGGCGCTTGTTGTCTAACAAAAGAGAACCAAATCCGGCCACAGTAATCAGAGGGTGGCAAGCACATAAGCAAGAGACTGTATGCTGATTTTGCTCTTTTCTCGACTGCCTGTGGATAGGTACGCTTTTATGACAGAGAAACTGTAGGATATGCTGCAGTCTGTGGTCAAAAGCAGAGAAAAAAGAAAAGTTTGGAGGCACCATATTTAAGTAAACAGAGTTATTGTAGCAGTTAATCAGAGAATTGTGCAAATTTTATACTACCAAGTATTTCAACAAGTGAACAGACAGCCTTCTATGGAAAAAAAAATTATAAGGGTTGGGGAAAAAAATAAGGAATTTAATGATTTTGGTTTACAATTCTTAACGGTTCTGGTTTGGTAATTGTTAAATATTAATGACTAAATGTAAAGCAATTCTTGTGAAAGGTACATTTACTCCTTTTCACAGATGTTTATGAGGTGACATGCAATCCAATAATTGTCCTTAACTATATATTAACAACACTACTAGACAAACAAAAAATGCACTACACTACCGTTCAAAAGCTTTCAATTTTTATACGACAACATCTATTTCAATGCTGTTCTTTTCAACTATATATTAAAAGAATCTTGAAAAAATGCATTACAGTTTCCACAAATATTAATCAACACAACACTGATAACAATGTTTCTTGAGCATCAAATTAGCATATTAGAATGATTTCTGATGACGTGACAACGACGTCTGGTGTAAGGGCTGCTGGGAATTCAGCTTTGCCAACACCTGAATAGTTTACATGTTAAATATATAGCAATAGAAAACAGCTATTTTAAATTGTAATACTATTACATAATAGGATAGGATAGGTACTTTATAATGTTACAGTATTTCAAATGTTTGATCAAATGCAGCCTAAGTAAGCAATAAGGCACTTCTTAAACATTACAAAACACTTACCATCAACAAACTTTTGAACGGTAGTGTCTATTTCATATTTCATTCAGTTATTCAGAAATTCATACAGGTTTCGAATAACTTGAGGGTGAGTAGATGATGACAATTTTCATTTCTGGATGAACTATGCCTTTAAGTGTCACAAGTCTTGAGCACTACAAAACACAGTAAGGTGTATGTGTTTGATTCACTAAAAACATTCATTCAGGAATCATCTGAACTACACTGGCTGTCCTGTGTGGTTTTGATTCACTAAAAAGAACCGATTCATAAGAACAATTCACTCAACAACTGAACTACTGATCACACTGTTTGCTTATGATTCACTAAAAAGATCTGGCTCATAATAGTTCTGGAAATGGACTATACTGGTTATGTTGTATGTTTCAAACTGTAGATCCTGTGGCAGACAGTTTCCATGAATAGTATTGCAATGCATTTCAAAACTGGTTCTCATTTCCCAACCCCAGACATTAGGGAAAACTAATGAAAGGTACAGACAAAGGTAGTAAGCATGCATGTGGATGCCCCCTGTGGATCAGTGAGGTGCATTAAATCAGGCTCAACGGTGTGGACTGTGACTGTTCTCCCCCTTCTCTCTGTGGCTTAGTGTAAACACTCGTGGTCCTCTTCACAACCGCTGATGAGCGTCCCGGCTGGGCAATGAATGGCTAAGGTAATATTTTAGCGCCACCGCCCTCATAAATCCTACACTGTTTGGAAAAGCGAAGCATTAGCCTGATGCCTGCTAATAGCCTGGCCATAAACACTAGCCCTCTAGCTCTGCCTCCTGCTAGGGTCACTGCTGCTGTGCCCCGTAAACACAGTGGCCAGATAGTCACCACTCAGTAGGCAGCTGGGACCGCTCCAAGGAGATGAACCTCAGAGAGGATATTCAGTTCAAACTGAGGTTCCCTTTACTAGAGCCCTCACGTCTGCACATCAAATGGCCATCCTGCTGCTACGTCATCATGGAGTTCAAAGGCGCAAATACATAGGAAAGGGTACTGGCCCATTCAATAATTCAGTGATTCAAACAACAAACAGTGTTCTGAACGTGTAGCTTAAGAGTGCATTAGCAACACCATTAAGTCAACATTTGAAGTTTTTTTTTAAGTTTTTTGGCATGCCATACTTTATTTCAACAGAAAAAGATGGTAAGTTTACCACCAAAAAAAATTCATTGTCAATCCAAGGGTGTTTCATGGACACTAGGAGAAATAAACTGCAGTTTCCTCTTACTTTACCCAAAAATGAAACATTTGTGATCATTTACTCAACCTCATGTTGCTACAAACATGCACGACTTAATTTCTTTTGTGGAAAACAATAGGGTCCAGTGTTGTTTTAGACCTCACTGTCTTTCATTGTATGGACACAAACAGTAAAAAATGCAGTAAATACATTACTATTGGGAAAAACATTTTATTATTATTATTATTAATGTTGAAAAAAAGTTGTGCTGCTTAAATACACACACACATATGTATATATGAAGAGTTTGGTTCCAAAACGCTATAAATCCATTTTGATTAATTGTTTTAAAAATGAGTAAAAACGTGTTTTCTTTACCAAGAAAGTGGCAAGATGAAAACCACTATTTTCTGTTTCAAACTTTCACATCGCATTTTTAGGTTATAATAACATTAAAAATTCAAATCCAGATTTTGATTTTCAAAGATATGGGTGTCTAGGATGCCGGGTGTATTCAAAGCGTCGTTACTGTTTACAATGCGTGGAATGGTGCGCTGTGATTGGTTGAGCGGATGTATCGCATTCTGCAGAGAAGGGAGACTGGCGTTTGAAAACATGAGAGAATAACACAGCGGATATCGCATTTTGCGTAAAATTAAAAATTTACTTTTCAATACCGACCAGATACAATACTGATTTTGGCAGGAACTCAAATTTTTTTAGAACTGTTTTGGAACCAAACTCTTCTCTCTCTCTCTCACACACACACACACATATATATATATAAACTTATATTTTTGTGTGAAATATCCATTTAAATATCCATTTTTCTCTTTCTAAACTTCCACTTATCCCTAAATTAAGTAAACAGCCATCTTTTTCTGATGATTAACTGTCAATATAAAAGGAGTTGAGCCATTTTTTGGGGAAGAGCTGGAAGTAGCTTTCCATTATGTAATATTTCATCACAGAGCTGTACACACTTTCGTCTCTCATGGTGTGAATGTTTAAGGCCTCTTAGCGCAATCTCGTGGTCTCCACACTGACCCTGGTAAGAGCTGAAGCATTCATCATATAGACAAGCCTTTTAGTGCCGAAACCTTTGCATAAACACAGCTCCTTCACATTCCTGCTGAACCTGGCCCTTAGGAATCCACTAAAGATCTGCATAAGGATCTTATTCCCAGCAACCAATTGAAATAGCTTTTAAAAATGTATACTTTGTTAGTACTACAAGCTTAATACATATGTATTACAAGCAAGCTCCCTCTGTACATACTGGCAGGGCAACAAACCAAATGCAACCAGCGGCAGTCATCCACTACTTTATGTGCCTTGCAAGACTTCACAAATATTTATGTTGTTCCACAATATATTAACTTCCAGTCCCATCTTAGAAATCTGCAAAGCAGAAAGAGGAAAAGCTCAGTGTGTGTCCCTGCTGGCCTAAATTAAACACTGTAATCAGAATCACTGGAGTACTACAACTAGGAAATATTTATACACTCATGCACTGATATGAATGAAATATTTCTGAACTTACCTTATCTTACTGACTTTGTAACTCCAACTGTTTTGATGTAACTAACAACAATACAATCTTTTAAGCGGGCTCTTAACAAGAGAAAAAAAATAAATAAATCACACATATGATTAAACAACTTTTTTTCTTCTACAGTCTTCCAAGTGAGTTTTGCTCTTGCTCCATGGTTGTTTTTTAAATATATAATTTTGTCACAATAACAAGCCATAGTAGATTTGAATACATTTGTATATGATTCAAGTTATTGGAACCTCTTTTAAATAGGTGAGAGAAAAAACTCACTTTTATATTGGTCCAATTTGAGATCAGTTTCACAAACCCATTTAACATCCTTCACTAACCCGTTTAACATCAGCAATTTTGAATATATGAAATTTACTAACATTAAATTGTGTAACATCACATTGTCAACTGAAACATCATTACTGGTTGACCACTATACTGCAGTAACTGACAATAATAAATAATAATTCAATAAGCTGCTAGTTTGCTACACACAGTGGTTGGTTAATAAAGCAAAATGACGTTGTTTCAAACCCAGCACAAGTTGATCCACATACAATGTGCATTATGAAAATGCACCATTTTGTCATGTTTAACCTGTCTTACTTTTACTTTCCCAATCTTTCCTCTTCCTGCTTTTTGGCATCGCTCACCTGCGGCGGAGGTCTTCTGCCACTGTGGCCCGGCAGCTGAAGAGGTAAGCCCTGAGAGACTGGAGCTGCTGTCTCAATTTGAGAATGGCCGCCAATGCCTCGCAATGCTCATACAGACACGGGTTCAACTGCTGGACATCTAACAGGGGCTCCTCATAAACAAACTCCAGAAACTCCTTCGCTTGTTTTGACACCTGAACAACAAAAATGGTGTTGTTAATCATCATCGCTTACAGCTTTTGTTGGATGTCTGGTTTCTTTTGCTGGGTGGTGCAAAAGCTGATTTCTAAACTCAAATGCACCAAGAAAACGTACAGAATTATTAATGATACTGAAGATATGGATTGGATATACAGGTCTGTGCGCATACCTTGTGTTTGTTAGTGTCCCAATTATGCAGTAGACGCGCAGGTATGAGGAAGAGGTTGTCCTGGTGACAACTTGGGCAGTAGTACCAGCCACTATAAGAGCAAACTTTGGCCTTGCATCGTGACAAACCCACTGGCCTCTGGCATCCTGAATGGAAAAATAAGCAAGAATAAAAAGGAAGAACCTCAAACAACACAAATCAAACCTGGGAGAGGAGAGATCAACTCTGGGTTAAAGACAACGTTAATGGCCACCTAATCTACTGATGAGGGCACGACCAAAGCAAGAATAAAAAGGAAGAACCTCAAACAACACAAATCAAACCTGGGAGAAGAGAGATCAACTCTGGGTTAAAGACAACGTTAATGGCCACCTAATCTACTGATGAGGGCACGACTCTGTTAAAATTTGACAATCATTAGCAGAAGGTGATCAATCTGTTTGGGTTGTGTACTGATATGTCAAGGTTTACGACACAACCCTGGCTAAACACAGATAAATATTACTGATGATCCAGAGGATGCAAAAGATGTATACCGCACAAAAGGCAGCGATTGAGTCGCTGATAAAAACCCAAACTAAAAAGCTGTTTTTACCCTTCCAGACACAACAGAAAGAATCTAAATGCTTCTTAGTACTGAACAGGCATATATAAAGAGCACATTTATTACAAGATAGCTCATGAAAGTGCATTGCTTTGTCTTTTCATCGCGGTTCAAGATGTCTTCAAACAGTTTAGGCGGCACTCCAGCAAAGGGCTTATCCCAAAGGAACCAAAACAGGTGATTGTGAACATGGCAGGTGTCCCTTATCCTAACCATCTGGAAGAACCAGAGCCGGGACAGTGTGGATGTTCAAAGAACAAAAAGAGAGAATGAAAGGAACAGACACAGACGGATATAGACTTGTACAATCTTTTCGGTGGAGCGTATCGGCAGTTATACACTACAGAGGGAGAAGAAGAAATGTGGACAAGATGGGAAGTAGGATAGAGAGGACAAAAACAAGTCAGAGAAAACAGTCTCCAAAAGAGGGACGCAGAATGTTATCACTACAAATATCTGTAGAGGGAGACACTGATTACAGTGTTTACAGGCAACGCTGTAGGTCTATTTTTGATGCATTGTTAATTGGCTGAAAAGGGCCAAGCCGAAAACAGGGATGATGTACGTGCAGCAAAATTACACCATTTACCATCAGATTCAAAACAGTTAGTTCACCCATAAATGACAGTTCTGTCATCATGTACTCAGCCTCATGCATTCTATTTTGTAATGTTCTCTCATTTGTGCAGTTCAAAAGGAGATGTTTGGCAGAATGTTCAAACTATTCTTTCCATACAACTTACAGTGAACACATGCTGTTGAGTTTGGAAACCACAAAATTAATAAAGTAATTCATATAAAAGTGAACAACATTATATTCCAATTCAGTTTATATTCACAAGTGCTGTGACAAATGACCGTATCAGCGAATTACATTTTTAATATTGTAAATGTACATATTAAATATATTTAAAAACATCAATAAAATAAGAATAAATAAGGAATAAAAAAAAATCTACAGTAATATGTAAACTACCGTTCAAAAGTTTGCGGGCAATAACATTGGACAGTTTAATATTTTTTAAAGAACATATGTAACTATATGTATAATTTGATGACATTAACATTATGCTTGCCCTGCAACATTGTTGCAATGCCCTATGAAATTTTAAAGGAGAACTGTAATTTTTTGCTGTTTTGGATGCATAATAAAATAAAAATTTTTAAAAACTTGGCAAATGTTATTTTCTGAACAAGACTCTTGCACAATACGTCGCCAAGGAATACTGCCATTTTGTACCATGAAAAGAAAATTCACTCTATTCCATTTCCAAACCAATACGTAATGGGTTGTTCTATCTGAGGTTAGGCGCTAACATCATGCGCTGCACTGTGCTGCCAATGTAAACTTGAGGTTTTAAGGGGCAGGGACCCCAGACTATAAAAAGTCAGAGGTGGTGTCCCCCATGCCACAGCTGATGGGTGCCTGATATTTGGGCTGAACCACAGACCATGCAGCAGGGTGTCGTGTGTCAGAGCTGCCTTGTAATCAGCATACATGCAGAGCGTAAACCCACAAATACCACCCTTTTCCAAAAATAGTACTTCGTTGTATAGCGCTCATGTTACAGAGACTGTTATTAAGAGAGAGCTAGTTAAGGCTGTGCTTTTCAGCAAAAGAAAAACAAAAATTGTGCAAAAATTAAAGGAGAAACACTGACTCAAAAACTGGCAATGTTTGTATGCATTCAATTGGCTTCCAAAGCATAGTTTTTGTATAGCATCACGGAAGAATCAGCAGCTAACAGCTCACATATGTCTCAAACTCTGGAATGAAAAAGAGAATATATGGACAACGGAGTTCAAATTTGAGTTAGTAGATTAGCTACAGTCTTCATCATGATACAATGCATACAATTATTATTATTATTTTTAATAATAGGACAGTGTAGAGCAGACAGGAAGCAAAGTGGGAGAGAGAGGGGCGCAGGGTTGGGAAAGGTTCTCGAGCTGGGATTCGAACTCGGGACGCCCGTATGTCGGCGCACTGCCCACTAGGCTAATGGCACCAGTAAAACTGATTTTTAAAGGACAAAATAACACACTGCGCATCATCTCTGTCTTTCGGAGCCAGTTGTAGCCTGCTTTTCTTTGAATATGCAAGTCTTCCGATTCATTAGCTGCTGTAGGTAAATAACTAGAAGAATATTCAAGAATATTCAAGTAAACAGTAAAACTATTTATGCTACAAACCTGTTTATGATTACGGTTATTCATTAAAATAACATGATAAACACCAGTTTGCAATATAAAGCAATATATATTTTTAAACATGCAAAATAAATGACACTGGAAGCCTAGGTCTGTTTGACCAACTTCAACATTATGACCTACAATATCACTATATTTCAAATATCACTATGAAATCATTAATGTGACATTTTTACATTAGTCCTACTTAAAATGAACTTTTAATGCATGTTTTAATTGCATGTAAACATAGTGCCAAAACAATTATGTATGAAAGAGCCACAGAACAAGATCTGAACGAGCTTTCTAGCAAACTTCTGATAGAAGAGAGATTCTGGACAGCGGCCAGAGAGCATGCCACTTCTGGGAAAGAGTTGGCCACTGGGAAACCGCAGGTTCTATGTATTGTGGACATCACAGCCTGTGCCAGTAAAGCACAGCCCCATGCATGATTTCAAACACACAAGGTGCAAGTTTGCACATCACAGCCAGACAGAAAGACAGCACAGAAAATATCCCCAAGTTGAGGGTTCAGTGATGTCTGTGGATATCAAACCACTCTGAGCCAACTGAATTCTAGCAGGTTGGAGGTGCTGCTTTGCAGTTAACACACGTGATGCTCACTCAATTACAATTGAATATGGTTCTCAACATTTCCCAATCTCATAGCCAAGCATAAGTGCAGGGGAACGGCATGTTCCTTGCACAAAAAGTGGGGCCAACCTGGGACTGTGGGAAAGACGGGGAGCTGTGGCAAACAAGAGGCGTTTGATGTGTTCACTCCGTGACTGTCCGCAAGATTCCCCTCTTTCATTTTCAGCAGCACCCTGTTGCCCTAAAAATGGCAACTATTTGCAGGAAAAATAAAGGTGAAGTGGGGCGCTCTGAGGTGCCACTTGCACAATGGTTTTCTAGCAGAATAGACGTTACGGCTCCGGAGGAGGTGTTCGGTCCTTTAGTGCAAGAAGGTCTCTCGGTTTTCTTGCTGCAAAGGCTACAACTCGCTCCACTTTCAAGCAGCCCGCCGAGTTCCACGGGACAAGAACCCCAGGGTGGGGCTTTGTGGCTCCATAAGCGTGAAAGACGACAAGGCCCCAGCTTTGATGTCCCCTATTCAAGCTGACATCCACTTAAAAATAAAAAAAAAGATGGCATAAGGTTGTGCGTGCGTGTGTTCACACATGTGTTTGCTTGAGACAGATGCACTGCCCATCTTTTTGATGTAAACAGCAGTCCCTTGGAACCCATTCTCTCCACCTGACCCTACACTCCCTCTTTTCCCACCTACAGCTGGATCTTCCCATTTGATCTGCTGTCCTTGTATGCTCTACAGGGTACTTTAGTAGAAGTGTGTGGAAAAAAGCCTAAGCTGGGTTCAAGCAAACTATGTGATTTGGCTTGAGAAAAAGGGTGTACGTGTGCGCGCGCTTGAGAAAGGTGGAAAGAGGATGGTCTCTGCTTCTGCTTCAAATGGATGGCATGCATGACCCTCTTAAACAAAGGTCTGTTATTCTGTCGGCCTAATGATTTGAATAAAGTTTGCTCATTAAGCGTTGATCAGCAGTGTTTTGATGAGAGATGATCTAGACGTAAACTGGACAACTGGGATCCAATTCAAACCAACCCAACCAAAATGTAATTGAACAAATATATTTAAAAAAAATTATAAAGTGAAACAATAAAAAATAATGAAATAAAATATCTGGCAGCATACTTTTGGAAATAATTAGAAATTATTCAAATGGATTGGATTAGATTGGATCGAGTCATGATTGAATTTCCGATTATTCTGATGCATTGCAATAGTGAAAGAATCAAAGAATTGTAATCATACTATCAGAAGAAATTTTTACACCTCTAGTTGACCACTAAAGGAATAGTCCACCCAAAAATTTAAATTCTGTCAATTTACTCTCTCTCAAGTTTTTCCAAACCTGTATGAACACGAAATTAGATGTTTTGAAGAATGTTGGGAACCAGACAATATCTGTTCCCCATTGACATCCATCGTTTTTTATTTTCCCCATGGTGTTTGGTTACCCACATTCACTTCTTTTATGTTCATCAGAACAAGGACACTCATACAGGTTTTGAACAACTTGAAGGAGAGTAAATAATGACAGAACTTTCATTTTTGGATGAACTATCCGGTTCTGCAGAAGAAAACACTGGCTGACTTTAAAGTGCTACCTCGTTAGACCTCCAACAAAAACATTGGGACAAGGAAGAATCAAAATCTTAACAGAAACAACAGATGGTATAAGTTTGAAATATGCATATTCAAATTAAGGCAGGGACTAATGTTCCTTCCTTTCTATCGCACTTCAATAGCTTTTCTTCCCCTCCTTAGCATCTCCAGGTCATCTTTAAGCAATGTGAATGCATCACAACCCATTTCAGTAACCCCCACATAGGACTTGGGTTAGCTGACAAAACCTTTTGTGGATGCAGAAAAACTGGGGCCAAGAGGTATTGCAAAGTGAACAAATGATAGAGAACAAAGCAGGCCATAATAAAAGACTGCAACAGTAATGAGACAAAACTCTTCATACTGAAGAGCCACTACCACCTTTAACCATCAGCCCACTGAGCCCAGACTGGATCCGTTCTCCTTTCCATCTACCCTGCAATTGGATGAGTTGCTCTTGCTCACACAAGATCCAATCCTCTTATAGCACATACACACTAGAATTTTAGCATCAACTATAGAATAAAACAGACATCAAGACACAGGAGTCACAGGCACATTTCTTAAATATATTACGTGTTATCAGTAGCATATAAGTCGTATGTCCCCAACATGTTATGATTGGCCCATTTTATGTGACATTTTGGATGTGGGTTAGGGTCTGAGAGAGACACCACTAATATACTGTCTAATTTAAAAGAAAAGAAAACAGATGAAAGGAAAACAAAAAATAAAGACTATTTAATGTCTAGTTCTACCTTAAAAGCACTCACTATTTACATCTTTAAAATCTGTAAAAAATTTACTCAAACAAACGCGCAATACAAATCTGCTGCTGATCAACATAGAAAAGAAAAATAAGGTGTGAGCATCTGTTCGGGGGAAAGAAATAAAAAGAAAGATTCATAAGTGTATGTTTTTTTTGGGTGATAAAAACTACAGTGAGAGAGAGAAAGAGAGAGAGTGAGTTCCAAGCGCACGGATGTACCCAGCTGTTCTGTTCTTTTTAGGCCGACACGTCCCATTCAAAAAAATCTCTTTCGTGGCCCCGAATCAAACAATTAGCTTCCGCACAGATCGCAGCATCCAGGCAGCCTTTGATTCTAAAAGGGTTTTTTTTCCACTTTATATGGGCCAATTATCGTCAGGTGCCTGCTGTCCTTGTTCAGTGAGGCTTTCAAATGTCCTGCATTAAAAAAAGCTGGTTGTTACAACCGGGCAGAAAAGCGTTTCATTCATATCCACTTAGAGGGTGGAAATTTCACACCGGAGTTTAGCCCTGATAATTTTACTGATAAGGAACCCAATTCTAAAAAAGCGGTTACAAAATTAGGAAATGTTGAAAATGCATTGTAAAAGGTGGTCACCTGCACATCGGAAGCTCTGAGCGGTAAGACCCTTTTCTACAGCCAGACAGGTGAGGATGCTGATAAAGCTAGTGGTGACGGACTGTCGTTTAGCTCTCTGGGTCTCACTGTGCCGTCGCTCCCTGGCTGGCTTACTCCTTACCACCACTTGGTTATTCTCCCACTGTGGCCGCTGAGCCGTCACTGCCGTGCGCAAGGCCTCCTCCCAGTCCTGGGCCTTGGACTCGGTCTCTGCCCGCAAGCGCAGCACATCATCAGGGAAGACCGCCTGGAAGCGGGAGCTGGTGTCTCCGTCTTCATCATCCCGCTGCAAAGCCAGACAGGAGGCCAGCGGGTACCTCAACACCGGCTCCGACACTGGGCCTCTTCCCTCGGTCGGAAAGGCCTGCAGCTCAGTGCGGCTCAGTACAAACGTGAAGGTCCTCCAGTTATTGAGGTCAGTGAGTTGGTGCAGAAGACCAGCCTTAAGAACATCAGCACAGTGCTGGGTGAACAGTGGTAGGGCCGTAGGACGTACCAGGGGTCGAGGGGCTGGCACCATCGCCGCATCTGGATCGGGTTCGTGAGGGGTAGGGGAGTTGGCACGGGCCAGCTCCCCTTTGCGATTGGCTGGACGGGCGGCCAAGACGTGTTCCCAGAGGAGTCTACACCACTCCAGTGCCTCCCACTGGCAGGGTGCGCGCAACTGCACGCGAGTGCTGTTAAAGAAGACGGCCTGGAGTACACGTCCATCCTGTGGCTGTGGTGCACTCACCCCTTGGCAATGGGACAGTGAGAGGGCGGCACATAGCTGCTGGTTGCCGCTGCTGTCCAGGCTGTATAGAAGCAGCTCACAGGGCATAAGCTCCACATGACAGGTGGTCCAACGTCCCCATGGGCCCTCTCTCTGCTCCAGCGTTCCCTGCTTCACCAGGCTAGGGCTGCTCTCCTTATGAGCTAGAAAAAAAGTCAGAAAAAGCACTTTTAATGGCAATAACAAACTACAGACTAATAATGTCTGAGAAAAAAAGTTTATAATGGATTAAATAACTGTAAATATGATTACTAGGGCCTTTGGCTACACCATGTGAAGCTAATGGCAAAAACAAGAACTGTAATTGCACAGGAAAATTGGAAGAAAATATTGTGGATCAAGTACTTCCTGGTGAATCATACAATACAAACAAGACTTAATCCGTGATCAGACTCTACTTACTGATTTGATTTTCCTTCTATGCTGAGAAATTAAAAAAATGTTTTAACTAACAACTGCTCTCTTTGGATTATATTTCTCAGAGGTCTTTAGCAAAAACAAATTAAATTGAATGTAAATTTGATCAAAAAAAAGGCAAAAATGTCAATATAAATTATGAGAAGTATTACAGAAAAAAAAAAGATTGTTTTGATGATTTTAAGGATTGCTTTCAGGATCCTTAGAGGACTTAATTTTTTTTAGACAATTTGCCAACAAAAAAGGCAAAAATTTCAAAAATGAGGAGAAACTTGAAAACAACAACAGAGGATTACATTTCTCAGAGGACTATGGCAAAAATATGATTAAAAATTGTAGGCATTTACCAACAAAAATCAGCAAAAAAAATTAATAAATGAGAACCACTATAAAAAAAAAAGAGATTATTTTTTGAGGATTACATTTCTCAGAGGA